TATATATATATATATGTATGTATATATATGTATTTATATATATATATATATATGTATATATATATATATATGTATGTATATATATGTATTTATATATATAAACACAGCATGTTATATGAACTATATATCCGCTCCAGGTGGCTGCATGTTGGAGCAGCTCTGCTACTTTCATTCTGAGATTTTACTTTAGGAAACTTTAATTCCTCTTTTTCTGGATGTAAATCACATGTTTCTGGATGATTGTTTCCTCTGGTATCAGATGCTGTGCAGCTGGAAGGATTTTTACTGAAACTTTTGTAATTTTGGACATTTGTTATGATGCGTAACCATGGCAACAAGGCAGTTTTCTACAACCAACAGCTGATTAACTTCTCAAAAGCTCAAATAATATCTCAACTATGGCCCCAAATCTCAAATGAGTTGAAAAGGATGTTATGTGGACGCATTCTCATCTACCTGCCAGCTGTGCTCGAGTGCCTGACCACTGAGATCCTGGAACTAGCAGGAAACATGGCTCATGAAAGCAGAAGGACAGGATCGTCCCTCAGCACCTACAGTTGGATGTCCGCAGCGACGAGGAGCTCGGCAGACTGCTGGGAGGAGTGGCCATCGCTCTGGGAGGAGTTCTGACCAGCATTCGGGCGGTCCTGCAGCCCGGAGGAACCAAGAGGCCAGCCGAGTCTGGGTGGACGGATCGACCGGCATCTGCAGCCAGTGTCTTGGGATCCACTGTGGGATGGACCTTTACAAGAGATCCTTCCTGTCTACAGCATCAGCATCTATAACATCTCTTAATGAAATGAGGATAACGAGTTACAACAACAAATAATTTCCCTCTGGGATTAATAAAGTATTGAATTTTTTTTTTAATTATAGTGTGAATGTGTTTAACTCACTCATGGAGGTTTTTCTTCTGTTTGTTTTTCATCATGTCATTCGTTCTGCAATTTTTGTGGTATTTCAATTATTCATTTATCAAAAGCTTTATCAAAGCTCATTCAGGACATTCCTGCTATGACTTCAGGTTTTTGTCCAGTTTTAAGTTTTTGAAATATTTAGCTTATTCTGCCATATTATTCTCATTAAAAACAAATGGAGCTCCATTCACATCCTTCAGGTGTTTACAACCTGTTTATATATTTTACCTTTTTGGCTCCCCTCAGGGATGTGTGTTGAGCCCCCTCCTGTTCACTCTGCTCATGTATGATTGTGCAGCTATACCCATCCAGACTGTCACATTGTAAAGTTTACAGACAATGCAGTGGTGGTGGGATGCATCACAAACAATGATGAGTCCAGCTACAGGCAGGAGGTGAAACACCTGGACAGCTGGTGCAGGAAGAATAACCTTCACATCAATGTGAAGAAGACGAAGGAAATGATCGTGGACTTCAGATGGAACAAACACACCTACCCCATCCCCGAACATATGAGGATCTGTGGTGGAAGTGGTCTCCAGCTACAAGTACTTGGGTGTGCACCTGAATGACAACCTAGTTTCGGCTTTTTATGCTCTTTTTATCTTCTGCTAAATTGAACTTTTTTTTCCACCTTATTCAGCTCTTTTTGGGTATTTTTGTGACAATTTTAGTTTCACACTATTTATTGTCACCAATTTCCAACTTTTGTGATACTTTCAAATAGATTAAACTTGTTCTTTTCAGCCTTTTTCTGCCAATTTCACCTTAGTTTTAGCTTTTACAGCTACTTTGTTGCTAATTTTAGCTTTTTTCACTCGTTTCTTTTTTTGCTAATTTAATTTTCTTTGCTAATCTATTCATCGTCTTTGTCCATTTTGGCATTAAATTTCTGCTCTGCTCAACTTTTATTCTCTACATATTTCTGTAGTTTTTCTTCTGCATTCTGTTATTTTTCTGTTTTTAGTAAATGTTAGCTGTTCAGTTTAGCCATGAAACCTCTTCAATGTGCTTTAGCTTTCAGCAAAGATCATTCAGCGTATTTTCACAGGAAATGCATCATACAGCACTTCCCACCTCGACATTATTTATGAAACAAACACTAAGCAGAAATGGAACAAATTACACCGAAGCCCAAGTTATGATCCAGCAGTCTCAGTCAATTTTCTGTAGGACATTTTCAGTCTCACATAGTTGTGGGGGGTTTCAGCCACTCCATTTTAGAGTGTTGCATCACTTCTTTGATGTTTGCAAGGATCTTTCTCCTCCACTTTCTGAAGGTCCCACCACAGCTTTTAAACCATTATGGACATTGACTGCACCATCATGATTTTTCTTCGCAGCTCTTCTGTTATAGATTTATGGATTAATGTTCTGTTGCATTGTGACCCATTTTTGGCCCCACATTGGGCGCCAAATATGTAGTGGCGTCTACATTTAATTAACACATTTTTTCCCTTTCCATGTCAGTAATTGCTCCACACATTCCTAAAACCTTTCCATTACATTCCTTTATTTGGTGAGGGTCTCCTTCACACAACATAAACTTTCAACCTTCATCAACCCAATATGGTTCTAGCTTCGACTGTCAGACCCGTCTATAAATACTTTGGCCTACAGAAGACTTCATGGTCAGATCAATGACTACAAGGAGTCTTGACTTGACTGTGAGGCCTGTGCAGTCTGAGATGGAGCTTATTATTAATATTTTTTACATTTCTCTGAGCTTTACAGTCTGTGCACCACCTGGTCTGGAGCAGTACAAGTGGGGCAAAGAGACAAGGCTTCTCCTGAAACAACACGTCACATCTGCTCAGTCTTTCTTCAACTGTCCTGTCAGGAACTTTAACCTTCAACTTGCTCTCTGATCTGGACCACCACTATGATTTTTTTTCATTTACCCTTTATTTATACAGGTAGTCTCATTGAGACTTTCGGTAAGATGGCGCCCGTGTACATGGCTTGCAATCCACCTCTGCTGATGGTGTTTGGATTATTTTTGTTTTGTTTGTTTTTTTATCTGTGGCATAAATTCACTCCTGATGTATGACAAACAACACCTTCTGGATCTTCGTTTTTCTGTCACCAATGTCGCTTATTTGGACCATTATCAGCGTACCTCTGGATCCCCCCCCCCCCCCCCCCCCCCCCCCCCCCCCCC